CTCTGCAGGAGAGCCCCTTGGTGGTGACCCAGCCACTTCTGGGTGCTGAGGGGACACAGAGCACATGCCAGGGCCTGGGGTGGGTCCTCCCTTCTTGTGGGTGATGCTCTGTGCCTGGTGCCCTAGAGCTTTTTGGGGGACTGTCCCTTATGGGCAGATGAGCCCTGGGTGGAGGACGAGGTCCCATGTCTGCAGTTTGGTGACTGCTGCTGGGGCTCCTGGCAGCCCTGATGTGACAAAGCCAGGTGTCTCCCTGCCTCAGGGGGGTGTGTGGGCTGATGTTGGTGCTGGGCAGTGTGTCCTGTGGGGTCTCTGTCCAACTGCCCTTGTCTCCACCTCTCGTTTCAGCCCCATGATGAACAGATTCTTCCCTGCGAATTTCCCCAACAAACAGTACCAGCTCCTCTTCACCCAGGGCTCCGGGGAGAGCAAGGAGGGTACGTTGGCTCACTGCTCTCTCTGGGGGCCTGAGCATTTTCTGCCTTTACTGTTCTGTTTTTTGCTCACTTGGTGTCTTGACTTTCAACCCGTTGAAACAACTTCCTCACAGACTCACCCCTTGCTCCCTGCTGTGCTCCCGTACCCAGCGTGAGCCCCGGGTGTCCCTGCAGAGCTGGGGCTGCCCTGTGCATCTTCCTGCACTGGCTGGTGCTCTCCCTCTGTGCTGGCTCTGGCTGGCAGTGGAACCCCAGAAGCAGATCCCAGAAGCAGAAGAGTCCCACAGAAAGGGAGCTCCAGCCGCTGTTAAATGCGCTGCCTCTATTTAAGCTCCTTGGGTAGCACAGCACTGACTTTTTTGTGCTGCCTGAACTGATTTGATTTAAATCCTTGCACTAGTAGAAGATGATTTGATAAGAATCCTACCCAGTAGCTTTACTGGTGAGGGAATACTTCTTCTGTTGATACCACCAGGAGTTAACTGGTGCCGGAAGAGGGAGATTTGCCTGAATCCAATTTCCTTGTTGACAGAAGGATGGCAGATGCTGTCCATGTGGCAGGGCCTGGCTGAAGGAGCAGGTCTGGGTTTGCCAGGGCTGGCTGCTCACTCTCATGCCGTTTGCACGGGTTTACTGTGGGCACAGCCACTTCTGTGGGTACAGCCCCCTCCCCTGGGATGCGGGCACTGGGCTCTGTATTGCTCCCATCTGGAAAGTCACTTGTCTCTGCCCTGCACGGGAAGGGAGCTGCCCGGGCTGCCCGAAATCTGACTTCTCTGTTTTATTGCAGAAATAGTGAATTACGAGTTTGACACCAAGGATCTGGTGTGCCTGGCCCTGAGCAGCGTTGTGGGGGTCTGGTACCTGCTGAGAAAGGTAAGGGAGCCGCAGCCCTGTGGCAGGGAAGCCAGGGACCAGCTGAGGCCGTGGCTCAGGACGTGCAGTGGGACCCAGATCTCCTTTTCCTGTCGTTCTCAGCACTGGATTGCCAACAATCTCTTCGGGCTGGCGTTCTCCCTCAACGGGGTGGAGCTGCTGCACTTGAACAACGTCAGCACTGGCTGCATCTTGCTTGGGGGTCTCTTCATCTACGACGTCTTCTGGGTAAAGGGGAGCGCTCCCCGGGGCGGACGCGAGTGGCAGCCGTTGGCGGAAGGCGTGTGCGTGGCGTTGGCCTCTGGGGAGGCAGAGCACTGGCTGGACACGTGTTTGCAGTCAGGATTTCCACTTTCTCAGCCCAGAGGGGTGTGGTGGGGATGATGACACAATCAAACAGTAGCACAACGTCGCTCAGCAAATGCATTTTGTTTTTAATCTCTGGTTTAGAGAGCCCAGAGCTGGCAGAGGTCTCCTCAGGGCTGTTGTGGGGTGCCTGGCTGTGCAGTGTACCCAGTTCTGGTGACCTCTATTCCCCATTAAGATCTTCCCAGTGCCTGTCAGAGCTGCTGGGTGGGCTGGAGGATGAGGCTGCTCAGGGGTACACTGACCCTGCCTCCAGTCTTTCCCTCAGCCCATGCTGCACCCCGACATCTTCACTTTGAGGTTTTCCTTCTCTTCTGTGATGGCCTGGATGTGTGTTTCTCCTTGTGATGTCCATATTCCCCAGGCCTTCCTGCTGCCTCCACCTTCTGAATTCCTGTGTTTCCAAATGTCTGAGAGCCTTGTATACCTTGAGGTCTGTCCAGCAGCTCTGCAGCTGCCTGAGTAATCCTTCCCTCTTTATCCTGGCTACCGTGTGTTATGTTGTACTTGGCCGGTGCTGCCCTGGTTTCACAGGCTCGTTAACAGTCTCAGCTCTGTGGTTCGTTAGCCTGTGGGCCACTTCCTCTGCTGCTCTCAGCTGGAGAGGGTTCAGCCTTCTGGTTTAGCACACCCAGTGCCTCCAGCCCTGCTCGGGGTGTGAGTGTCTTCCTGGTGCTTCAGAGACAGTGAGAGAGCGGCCCTGGCTGCTCTCCACATGCCAGCTCCCTCCCACCTCGGCTTCCCTGGCAGGTCAGGGTGTTGCTGGAGCCTTGGGGAAGGGTCGTCCAGGAGTGGAGCCCCCCTTACTGTGCCCCTCTGTGGGACCAGTCGCTTGGATCTTAGCGTGGATTTAGTCACAGTGAGATCCAAGGAGAGTTTCCAGGAGGAAGGAGAATTGCTCAGTGGATGGATGATATTGTCCCCTCCATAGTCTTGGGATTAATTTGCATGTGATGCTTTTCCCTGGTCCCAGTGTGGAGTCCTGTCACTCCCAGGCAGTGCCCAGAGCTTGCTGCTCCTTAGGGGAGTTAATCTGATGCCCAGTGCTTTGCTTTAAGGTTTCTCTTTAATCCCTGGCTCTAGGATCTTGCTCAGCGGGTGCTAACCAGTGTGTGCTTTATGTGCCTGCTGCTGGTATAGCCAAGACTGGAGGCTTGGAGATGAAAAGGAACAGAAATGAGCGTGGTTGACCTGTGTATTCAGAGTTTATCCCCCAGACCATGTCAGTATTTCAAGCTGATAGTGCAGTGCAGATGAGTGACCTCAGAGGAAAATGCAGCTGCTCTGACAGTTGCTGTGCTCCCGTTGGAAGCTCCTGGGCAGCATCCTGGAGCTGGCTGGGAGCTCCTGCCCTCAGATAACGTCCTGTGTGGTGGTCTGGCTCTTTGCTGAGTTCAATAATGAGAGCTGAACTCACTGGGGAAGGCTGGGTGGTGAGCAGCACTGTGGCTTGGTGATGTGAGTGTTCCCCCCAGCACTGCTCTGACAGCAGGACAGCCCTGACCTGATCACCTCCCTGAGTGCTGCCCTGGGCTCGCTTGCAGGACTCCTCTGCCCACAGCTCAGGAGCTCTTTGGCCATTTTCTACCACTGAGGCTGCTCTGAGCCTTGAGATGACGCTGTAGCTGAGTGTGTGTGTGTGTCCCTGTGCAGCTGTGGTCACCCCAGACTCCTCTGCTTGCCCCTAGGTCTTTGGAACCAATGTGATGGTGACAGTTGCCAAATCGTTTGAGGCCCCGATAAAACGTGAGTAGATCTGTCCCGTGAGCTGGAGGAGGGGCTGTGTGTTCTGTTGTGGTCACTGCCCCGTGCACCCTCCACCTCCCAGAGGTGGCTCAGAAGGTGGGGTGTGTGCAGGAAGGTTTCCTGTTAGTGACCCCTTAGGCTGCTGCATGGTGCCACCGACCTGCAGGGAGCTGGGCCAGGTCTCTGGAGGGGGATGGTCTGCAGAGCCCTGGGTTGGCTGGGTTACTCTGCACCCCCAGAGCAGACAATCCCACCTGCTCAGTAAAAAATGCAAAAAACCCCACAGATTCCTCCCTGCCCCCCAAAGAGCAGCAGGGGGGAATTTGTGCTGTTGTGGAGCACGGGATAGTTTGGGTCCTGGGAGCTGGGGGTGAAACCTGGGCATGGTGCTGGCTGTGAACCGCAGGTTTCTCATCCTGGTGCCCGGAGTTGTCCCAGGAAGGAGAACAAGGGGAGCTGCAGGGAGGAGGGGGCTGATGGCAGGGACAGGGGGGCAGGGACAGGGGTCTTGCCCTGCTCAGGTCACTTTTTGCTGGGCCTGGTGGTGCTGGGGTCTGCTCAGCACAGACACTGCTCCTTCACTCTCCCTCTCCCTGCTTCTTGTAGTGGTTTTCCCTCAGGACCTGCTGGAGAAGGGACTGGAGGCTGACAACTTTGCCATGCTGGGTCTGGGAGATATTGTCATTCCAGGTGAGGACAGAGAGGGAGGATGTGACCGGGGTCGCCTGTCGGAACGGGCTGTGGGGAGCTGAGCGGGATCCTCGCTCTGCCTCTGGCCATGTCAGGGCCTTGTGGGGCTCCCACTGGCTCTGGGGGCTGTGCAGACTGTGGGGCTGCGTGGATTGGGGGTCTCCCAACAGGTCCCGGTGCTGTCCCGGTGCCTTGTGCCACGAGAGGGCACTGTCAGCCC